ATTCCCACTTCCACTTTAAATTTCCTGTTCCACATTACATGCCTGTGTATTGGCAACTCATTCCACAGGCAGCTTGAACCTTCCAAAGACTCAAGAAATATATGCTCATTAGTACTTTCATATATTGTGGAATAACAAAATGTCTAAGTATTTGAATTATCTCTTTCACTTATAATAGGCTCTTGGAACAAATTTTATTAAATCTAGCTAGTGAACTTTTATTTAAAATGAACAAAAAAATTCCAAAAGCTCTCTGAAACAACTTCCACAAAAGCCAATGTATTTCAAAGTAAAGGGTACCAAGGCCTTCTAGCTTACCCTACTTGATCCTAGGCACTGTAGCACATATTATCACAACAGTTATTCATGGTACAGACAAATTCTCAGATCCAAGTGCACAAAGTATTTATAGCCATCCATTCACTTTATCTACAGTGATCAAGTAAATAGCTTATTTGTAACATGATACATTAGATATGGATATTAATAGGTATATGTTGGAAAGGATTTCAAGATTCTTCAAAATGAAAGATACTATGTAAACGTAAGATAACAGTAGGCTCACTCGCTATCCTGGTATCTTCTGATGGAAGACTGTCAATGCTGCAGTGGCTGTTCCCGTAAAGATGAAGTTAAGGTGTGTATATTAGCGACCCTACCTTGAAAATTCTATCACTTTTATGCCTTTATGTCAGATCACTATGTTAATATATTTTTGTCTTCCTTAATATATTTTAAGGTTAGTTTAACTTTCAATTGTTATTGGTTTGGTTTGATTTTACTTTCATAACTTAACCTCAAAAGAACAAACAAGAATAATGCCACAGGCACTGAAGTCCATAATATGATCTAAGGCTGAACCCTCAAAACTCAGATCTGACTACTGAGCCAGCATTGTTCTACTTTCCAGAGAAGTCTCCGTGACTGTTTTGCAATAGCAAGCTACTTCAAAATACAGCACTTACCTGGGACCCAAGAGCGCTCCAAAATCTAAAGTTTGGAAATAACAACTCAGAAAATGAAAGCGGTGAATAGTGAGGAAGCAGAAAGCCAGAGAGACAATGAATGCCCTTACTTGTTTGTATTATACAGAAATTGATTTTGGACTTCTATTTTACTCTAGCAATGTGTTTTGATTTCAGCTTAGGATACATCCTTAGAATAACATTAAAACTAAACAGAGGGATATTATAAAGAAAAAGATAGGTGTACTCTTAATTACAAGAGTGAGAGAGGCATCAGTATAATATTGCTCATATCCAGGTAGAATACAAATTCAGTGCAGGACCACAGGTTCAGATCTTTGATCTCCCTTTTTGCAAAGGCTGTGATGTATAAAACCAATTCCACTGAGCAGACACTACCACACTGAATATAAATTATCCTTTAACTATACCAAGGCAGTTGTATGCTCACATTTGAAAAAATGCTGCAAAGATGAACAATGCAGTCCTGAAGCAATAAGAACTCTTCTGTATAAATAAATGGAAAGGAAACATGTGAATTGAAAGAAAACCAAAATATGTTCCACAGAGGTATATTCCTGTTATTTAGTGAAAATATAATTTTAAACACACACACACACACACACACACACACACACACACACCACATGGACACAAACTCACTATATATATATTTATGCACACGCACAACATAACAATGCTTGCCTTTTCTATAAAGAAAAAGTAAGAAAGCTTTACTGATAGTACAGAGGGCTTTATTAAAAAAAAATTGGGCATTGTTCTCTTAAGCAATGCTAAATGTGATTTAAAAATTTGGGTATAGACCGTTCAAATTGAACATGGCTTGCAGTTTATATCTATCTTTTCCAGGTCTTTCTAACAAAAAAGAATCTTCTGCTACTGAGCGAGCCCCCTAGCTCTCCAGAGTTTAGCCATTAATATTCTAAACCCATCTTTTACAGTTCACACACACACAAAAATTGTCTCACTTTGGCCAAGATGAAATACTTAAGTAGAAGTCATTGTGCTTATGCAGATTTTCTCCACTGTATTTAAAATCAGCATATTCCCCTCTCTCTCTCTCCTTTATTTATCTTATGCAAAATGTACAGTTTTGGAGTCACTCAAGTGTGGAGCCATTACCCAGTCTTATGTACACATTTCAAATAAGAAAACAAATTACTTCTGACAACCTGAGCTACTTTTTCTTTGTTTTATTTAGTACAACCTATACATTGAATCCATCCCTTTATTGTTAATGGTACAGAAGTACTGGTGAGTATTTTATAGGACATGTCGCTGCTGCTTAAATGAGGATGCCACTTAGATGCTTGCAGATGGTATTCTTGCAGTTCATATGACTACCAACCAATCTTTGTGAGACTAGTTACCAGAATGTTAACACACAAATAAATAATTCTTGCTCACGACTCCGATAGCCCCTTTTTAAAAACTATTTTCCTGTATAATCTTTCAGGTCAACTCTACTTTCATTCTTTCATTGCTAACAAGAAAAAAGTTGTGGTTTGTCTTTTGCTTATTATTACTGTTTTCTCTAGATATTTCTTTTGCTTTCAGTGAGACTTACACAGGAGCTGCTCTTCATTCCTTACATCTTAGACTGCAATTCAGAAAAAATAATGAATCAGTGTAGAATAACCTAATATTCTTCCACTGAGAAATTACTCTCATT